CCAAGATATCATTAGTGATATCAGTTTGTGCCTCTCTAACTTCCTTCTTGAATAGGATGTAGTTCGAGCTAGCAGTGACTTCCAAACCTCTGCCTTCATTGGTCTTATATTGATGCTGCTCTGCATTGAAGGGCAAGTCAAGTAGAGCTAGAGTCATAAGGCATGAAATATTGTTGTTGACGTTTCTAAGGAATTGGGAGGTAAGGAACTGCAGGTCCTTATTCTCAGCTCTTTCAATAAGGTAGGTGGAGTAGTCCACCCAGAAGGAGTTATTGCCTACGTTGTTTTCAGAAGTTGCATACATTTTCTGTTTGAAGTAGTGGGTCTCCATGTATTCATTAGTCTTTTGAACCTCTTCAAATTACAGTCTTGTATTTTTCTTAGCTTCATTATATGTCTACATAATATCCATATCAATATTCTTGTTACTGTTGCTGAAATCACCAAATAAATCATGTGAGGCACCACCAAAAGTTGCATTAGAAGTATAACTTGAAGGTTAAATGCTGTTTAACATCATTGCCCTCTACTAAACTGGCTGTTATTATTACATTTACATCATTTGAGGAGCAGGCATTGCATAAGCTTGTGGCATTCCAAATCCACCAGCACCCATACCACCCATAAGAGGTTATTCATAAGGTACTTATTACATCATGGCAAAGTTATTGAAGATATTGTTATTATTATTGTTTGAAAATGGATCAATCGCTAAATTAGCACTAACATTATTTGCTGCTCCGAAAAGACTTTATTAAGCTTAATTGCTAGAACCGACTATATCACCAAAGTCTGCAAATTGATCAAGCAAGGCTGCACCAGCTCCTAATAAATCTCCATCCTTCAGCATGTTTAAGTTCAAGACTTTATCAAATATCGAGTTCTCTTTATTAGTATCACGATACTCTGTATTGTCTCTCATGGCTGTCAAGTAGTTTCTAATTCTCAAAGCATCAGGCACTCTTCCAGATTTAACTAGGATGTCTACCAATAGACACTTCTCCAAGGTATTAATCTTTTCAAATGTGCCCATTCCAAATACCTCCAAACACTACTCATAATAGCCAAGCAGATAGTTATCCACAAAGGTCTTCTCCATCTTGTGCTTAAGGAATGGTTTGACAACCTCCTCAAAGTAAGGCTAATCTCTGAAGTAGATAAAGAGATTCAACTCATGGCAGAAATGCTTGGAAAAGTGCTTGTTCTTTTCATCAGTACTAGTCTTATTCCATTAAATAAAGATCTCACTCAAAGTGTTATAAATCTCTCTCTCCATGCTTGGGGCTGATTTCAAAACTTCGTCCAGAACGTTCTTCACCTTTTCTAAGTCATCTATTATCTAGATATCAGTAGAAGTAATATCTTCTATCTGATGCTTCTCTCCCTTAAGTACATTGTATGTCTTTCTGCTCTCCGTGTACCCCTTTTCAGTGTCTAGAGGCTTGTTAAGGCTCAAATCCCTCTTCTAAATAGCGTTTACTGGGAGGTCTACTTATTTGAATGCCACTGATTTATGATCAACAGCCAAAACCTGTAGCTGAGTGTGAGATGACAGATTTAGGCTAATTTTAATCTCTCCATTTTAGTCAGGCTTCAAGTTGAATTCTTGTACTGGTCCATTCTTTAAAAAGTTTTAGAGATCATCTATCATCTTGAAAGGTCCATGATCATTTTCAACCAAAGTCATAAGAGTAAGCTGATTGAATTCTTCCACAGAGCCTGATCCTAAAGCTAATGCAGATTTTCTGGCCATTTTCATCTGAGGTTAGAAATTGTTCATCTACCTATTTCTAGGTTGAGCCATTTACTGCATCATTGCTCTAGGTGCTACATTTTAACTAAGTATTTGAATATCCTGAGACCTATGCTACTCATAAGATGTGCCTTATCTTAGGCTTTCTTGATCAACTTGAGTCTCACCAATCAATGTTCTCTTAAGTACTAATCTGGGTCTCTCGAGAGTGTTGCCTTAGTATCTCTCAGCATATCTCCTGTCGAATACGTATCTGAATTCATCTGACAGTTCTCTGTTGCTCATAAAGAAATTCTTCCATTAAGCGAAGGGGAAGATGGTCTAGTTTGCTGAATTTAGCAATTCCTTGGCAAAGTGTAAATACTAATGATATGTTAGACTAGATTTATTTTACCGAGCTCTAGCTAGCTAAGTCCTCAAACTGATTAGCAACCAAATGAACTCGTGTCATATTAGTATAGTCCTCTAATTTGATAGTAACATCACTTCTGTTGTTCTCAGTGGGAGTGACTATAAATTCATGAAATTAAGATTAAATTAATCAAGTGAGTTTATCAATAATTTTCAATATTTTTTACCTGAAACGTTTTAAATCTTGAGTAGCTTCTGAGCTGCTTTGTTTTCAAATAGGCTGTCCCTCTTTAAGATGAAACTATTGTTTTCCCAGTACTCTCCTCTGTGAATAATAATTGAAATCTTTCTTTTGACATCTTTAAGATGAAGGACATAAGTTCCCTCCTGCAGCCCATTGATAAGTATCTTATTATAGTACTTATTCTCTTGCTATTCAAACTTTATTCTATCATAGAGATCCTCAAGTACAATGCTGCTATCCTTAATCTTGATTAAGCTAATATTCTTTCTCTTCTTAGTTTTGAATAAAACTGGGAACTCTATCTCCTGCAGTTCAACCAAGTCTAATTGCTGAGGATAGGACAAGTATTCCTCTTCTCTGTAGAGCATCCATCTTTTCTCTATTTTGAATAAGTTTACATTGCAGTTAATGGCTAATATATCCTTAAGATGTCCAAGCTAAACTCTGCCATTCTTATCAGTGTTTAGAGTTTATGACTACCCAGATTATGGATTTTACTTGTGACTAGCCTCAACAATTATGTTAACATTTGGCTTGGGTTCTCCATTTCTACCTAGCAAGTACAAATTGTACTCACCCTGTTCTTTTCTCAAATAGAGTGAACTCATTATATAATCTCTGTAGCTCTGAGTCACTTTGAAAACTGAACTCGCTGAGAATGTTTCCTCTCTCTGGTTTGAGATCTTAAATAGCTATGTTGTAACATCAACGTTAATAGCCTCAAGGTAAGGTGGAACTTAGAAATCTATTATGAGATCTTCGTTATCCTTGAATGTCAGATTCTCGAATGTCTTGGTCACAGTATTTGAATCTAAATAGTCAACAGTAGTTAGAGTCACTGTTGTTTTCTTGAGAACTTAAACTGAAGCAGGTCTATCATTAACATATAGACTTGGCTTAATCAGAATTTAAGCCTTGTTTCCAATTAGGATACTTTCTTTGTTTAGTAAAATGATAGCTTTGAAAGTATATCTCTCAGTTTATCTTTCAAAGTCGCATAGCTGAGCGAATCCATTGTTTAAGAGGATTGCTTTTTAAACCAAGTTAGACTATCCATATGGAATGAAAATCTTGCCTCCCTTTTCTTAGTTGGATTCGAAGTATTATCCATCAAAATAGATACCTGTCTTTGGACCAGAGCATATCTTCTTATTTTCATCAAGAACATAGGCTAAATGGCCAGCAATAGTGGGTTTGTGAATCATTGAAAGTGATCCTTTCTTAATTACAGCTCTTGAACTCATTCCATTCCCGATGAATTCAACAATGAAAAGTCCAACTTTTTCAGTAAGTTCTGAGAACACAAATGTCTCAATGAATTTTTTGTTAGGTGGATATTTGTATTCGAACTGTTTCTCAATACTTGCAATGAGACCATCAAGATTAACACCTGTGTTGAAAGGTTATAAGGTCTTTTTGTAGTAGGTCTCAGTGTTGAACTCGAAGATCTTTACATACAAGGTTTAGACGTTTTTCAATTCTAACTCTAGTTTCACATCTTCTTCAACTTTGAATAATTCTTGATTTGAGTCTAAGAATCTTACAATTACTTCTGAAGATATCTACTGATACTTCTTGACATCAATTTTTAGATTAGTCAGATCATCAGCTTTGAAAATGGCAATTCTATCTTCGATTTCTTTTAAGAATGAAACCTCAAAATTATCTTCGAATTCCTTTAGGCTATCATCTTAATGGCAGAAGTGCTCTAAGAATTGTTTGGTCATTGAGTTTTGGGATTCATGCCATCCACCTGATTTATTGCTAGCAGATTATACGTTCCCAATGTAGTTATTCCAATGATTATCTGCTATATCTATGTTTGCATGTCTCTTTTTAACATTGAATTAGCTAGTTTGACTAACTAAGGGCTGATCGAGATACTTCTTAAAGTATTCTTTATCATAAATGTTCATTTTTACTCCGAGTTAGAGTATTTCTAAGACGAGAGAGGATTTCAGACTCTGTGGTAAGCCGTTCTTTTCAGCATATTGATAAAGAGTCTTGAGATTTTAAAGCTTAACTTCATTTGGCCAAAATTCTTAGTTCTCACTGGATAGCTCCTCATGAAAGTGCTTTTGGAAATAGCTTCCAACAAAAAACTTGTCATCCTTGACCCAAGGAACAAGGGATGCGAGCTTGTCCAGCTAGAGCAATGTCATATTATTAAGAAAATTAGAATTTAATACGAAATACCTCTCAGTCTCCTTTAACATCTCAAGCGATTTTTAGAGTGCATCGTAAAATGTTGGATTTTGAATTTCAGCGATTTAAGTGAGCGAGTTAGAGCAAACCCACCCATAGAAAGCCTTAGGATGATACTTAGTAAAGTCTATTTTATGTTCTTAGCCAAGAGCCACATCTCTTAATTTACTTTGATCAAAGTTTTCATCATTAGTTGGAGAGTATCTAGATCTCAACTTATCTTTAGAGAAAAAGTTATCATATTCAAACCTATGTTGTCTCTTTGGTTTACTCGACTATTATATTGGTACTCCAAAATTGAGACCTATGAGATCATTGCTTGGAATATTTAAAAGGTTAGTACTAGGGATATCAGAGGCACCCTCGTCTTCACTTTAGGAACTTAGCGAATCATCCTGCCTTCTCATATCCTCTGGCTTTTCATGATTGAAGTTTAGGCCATAGACTTTTCCTCCATATTGAAGATCTGCCAAGAGATTTTTCTTATCATTTGGATTTTCGCATTAGTCGTATCTAAGGAAGTAGAGCCGACTCTGAATGGTATGATATGAAGAGGTATTTGAGAATCTTTGAGTAAACTAGCTCATAACAATGTCATCTTCACTTGTCAGTTTTGATCCTACATTTTTCATTCTATCGATGAAGTAAAGATAGTAGTATAGTTCTGAACCAGGAATGAGTTTCTTAATAGCATCTCCACGATCCTGGTCGTTTTAAGCTAAAACATATTCTTCATATGCTTTTCTATCTGTGTCAGATAGATTTTACCAATTCTATGACATCTATTAGTTAGGGATGTAGTTTAGAAAATATAAGATATTAATTATATCCTTGCAGAAATTTAAAGCTAATTAAGATATCGCGCATTTAGATATTTTTATCAGAATCAATAATTTTCTGACTCCTCAATTTTCTTTGATAAATTTGGTATGGGGTTTTGGGGTTTTGGGGTTTTGGGGTTTTGGGG